GCACCTGCAATTAGCATTTTAATGAGTTTCACTGGAAAGTAAGGTGATGAAATGGCTCAGATTAAAAATGAAAAGGACAAACTGGCAATATTTGGTGGGACCTACGAGGNACCAGCATGGAGAGCAGGACTATTACGTATCCAAGGCCCTCTTCAGGGCCATCTCATTGATCTCCGGACGGAATTCTCATCGTCGTGCCAGTTTCTTTGTGTACATCTTGTAAATAGTGTATATAGACAGTCTGGCTCCTCATTGGGAATTCCATCTAACCTCCGGAGTTGTTGGCTCGTGAACCACGAGTTAGAACGAAGTCACGGTCCTCTTCAGGACCACTTCAATTCCGATTGTTTCTTCCCTTTCCCCATCCCTTCACCACTCTGCACTACTCTACACTACTCTGCACTGTGTGTCAGTGTCGTTACTTTAGTCCTCTGAATTTCATCAACTTGACAGGGGGTTTGTGGGGCTTGGTGGGGGTTGTTGTGGAGTGCACTTCATGTGGTTCCATTCAACTACTGTTTGTTGATTTCGTGAGTGCTCTTGTGAGGGAGGGACTTTGGGGAGTGTGGTTTAGGCATCATGAATGCCAGTATGAAATTACGAATATATCTGGTGTGTGTGTGGGTGAGATGGGGTGGGGTGGGGGCTAATTGAGTGAATTTATTATTTCACATTTGGCCGTTTTCGCCATTATTTAATAATGCGGGTTCAAGTCAATTATGTAGCATTGCTGAGGCTGGAGTCTGCCACGGTTTTATTCCATGCTATAAAACGATGTGGGTTGCATAATTCTGTTCTGTTATTGTTTGCGGCTGTTAGAGAAGAAATCATATTCCAGAGGATGGAATGTTGCAGCCAAGTGAGTGTGAATGAGGTTTGCACCTGCAATTAGCATTTTAATGAGTTTCACTGGAAAGTTAGGTGATGGAATGGCTCAGATTGAAAATGAAAAGGATAACTGGCAATATTTGGTGGGACCTACGAGGATGAAGAAAGCAAGACTTGAGCAACGTCTCTCCTTGAATCGAACTTGTGTGAATCTCATTACTTCTCATTTTTCATAATATTTCAATAGCTGGCAGAGGGAGGGAGATAGCTGTTGGTAAGTAAACGATGTCATGAGATCTTTCTGGAATATATTACATGGGTTCTATAATTAGACGAAGTTGGAATAACAATAACTATACTGTAAGCTGAAAATCCTGGCANAACTGGCAATATTTGGTGGGACCTACGAGGATGAAGAAAGCAAGACTTGAGCAACGTCTCTCCTTGGATCGAACTGGTGTGAATCTCATTACTTCTCATTTTTCATAATATTTCAATAGCTGGCAGATTGAGGGAGATATCTGTTGGTAAGTAAACGATTTCATGAGATCTTTCTGGAATATATTACATGGGTTCTATAATTAGACGAAGTTGGAATAACAATAACTATACTGTAAGCTGAAAATCCTGGCATACGGTGATGCAGTATGCCAACTGTATGGACTATTCCATAACAGGATCACTGCAACATGCTCCTTACTGTCTTCACCTGTAACTCAATATCGAGTAGTAAATAGACATTACTCCACATTTTTCCATCCGACTTCACAAATAAGTGCATTTTGCCATCAATGATATGAAATACTCGAATTGCTTAAATAAAGCAAAGATTTGTTCCGCCTTACACTTGAAAATCGGACATTTTTTGAAGTTGGGTGGATGGGTGTGGAGCAAAGGTGGTGGAAATTTCTACTTCTTAATCTTTCAGCAAAATTCCAACACGGAAATCTGAAAATTGCCTGTTGTCCAGTAGTATGTGATTTATGACAATGTGTCATAGGATTGTCATCGGTATCGGTGTTTCGCCAAGGAAATTCTTCAATACTAATTAGAGAGAGAAAATGATGTGCAAGTCAATTTTGCACATTAGAATTTTCGAGAAGTAAACAGAGTAGCATGGCCTTCAAGTGAATGCAAATTCAAAACTCACGGCCTTAAAGTGATGAAGTTTTAAGTTCACCTTATGAACAGCATATATCAATAGGGACAACTGTAAGAGAATGTGCTTTTGTCATTTGAAATATGTTCAATTTGTCGACGACCCTCACCTGATACTACCAAAACATCAGTCCGCTGTGTGACACGAATGAGAGCAGTTGGTGCATTCACAATAAATATATGCAATTAATATATTACGAATTTGCTGATCAAATTTCAAACAAATGTTGACGGAATTGGGTTCAATCAGTTATATCTGAACGTTTGTACACCACAACTAATGATAATAATAATAATAACAATATTAACGCAAACACAATGACTCCAAAGAGCAACAACAGAATGTTAAAATAAACTTTAATCAGAACAAACGTGAGGCCAACTGTGTGTATGCATTCACAATTGGCATAGTGGATTTCTGGAGCCATGAGGAGGGCAGGATGCATCTGACGGCTTCTCCTTCTTCAAGATACCGTTTCGCCGACTTGTCCACGCTAGAGCTAATTTCAATTAGCAAGGAAATTGGTGGGGAAAGTTAAGGAGCACTTTAATGCCAAATATATTATCCCCGATATTTGGCTATTGCAGTTTAGACAGTAAGAAATGTTTTATAATTGTCTTTCATTCAATCAGACAAAACGAATTTGTCCTTGGTATGGAGTAGTGTTGTAATGGTATGTTGTCAATAAGGCGAACACGATTGACAGCTAATATTTCAGTTCAACTGAGAATTGAGAACGCATTTCTGTATTTTTCAGTGCACAATTTCGATATTCCCGAAAATTGGTTATTTTAATCAAAATTCATTGATTGATTGAAGTACATTTTATTTGAACACAAAATGAAAACATTCCATTTTCCTGATCTCATTTGGCTACTACCGAGATTTCTCTCCACCTCACTGACTGTTTTCGTCACAATCAAAAATTGAATTAGTAATATAGAGTTGTCCCTATCAACATATGCTGTTCATAACGTCAACTTAGACTTTCATCACTTTGAGGCCGTCAGTTTTAAATTCGCATTCACTTAAAGGCCATGCTACTCTGTTTACCTCTCGATAATTCTAATGTGCAAAATTGCCTTGCACACCATTTTCTCTCTCTAATTAGTATTTAAGAAGTTTTTTGGGGATAGACTGCTGGAAATTGATTCCACGCTGTAATTTGAAACTACCACGAGCAAGACCTCGATGAAGGTGGAGTCGTATTTAATTTCCTCGTGCTCTCTTCAAAGCCCCAAGCTTACTACCTTCTTAGTCCTGTACCCTAAAAAATGTGCTTTCTTTGTCAACGACAGGTGTTCATGCTGAACCAACTTTTCCGACTAGACTGCACACATTTCAGGAGATTATTGTGTTGATCGACAAAACATTGATACAATATTTCATACGGATGGTTGATAGTAAGTAAAGTGTGTTTATTCACAAGCAAAAAAGGGAAACTGTAAGTGTGTCAAGCATACAGCAATGGCATACAGCAATGAAAGTATCTCACTTTGATAAAACGTTGAGGCTCAGTTGAATGGAAAGTTGGCATTGCTTAAGGTGGTGAGATAGGCAGTGATCAGGGATACCGATGACAATCCTAAAACGCATTGTCATAAGGCACATACTACAGGCCTGCAGGCAATTTCCTGTAGACTCAATAAATATCTATTTACATCACATCTCTATGGAATTCTTTTGGGATCTGATGCACAAGAACGCAAACCCTATTTTTATTGGAATCCTCGGTTTGATGGTAAACATGGCTCGAGCACATGAAATTCAAAAGTAAACTGACCTTCATTTGAACTTACTTTTCAATTGCCAAACGTGTTATCAATAATGCACTTTTGTTTGGGACATTATGATTTTAAGTGGTTGCTTAAATTGCTTAAAAAATGTTCTTCTATTCATGGCTCGAGCACATGAAATTCAAAAGTAAACTGACCTTCATTTGAACTTAATTTTCAATTGCCAAACGTGTTATCAATAATGCACTTTTGTTTGGGACATTATGATTTTAATGCAGATGAATATTTTAGCTAGTCATAGGAAGATTGGTCTAAATGAGTGAGCAAAGATGAAGGCGCTTCTTCATTTCTATTGCGGGGATGTGCGATAGACTTACCTACACGTAGTACAGCCTGTTCAACGTATACTCACACAGCAAGAAAGTCTATTAACTGGCAGTTGACTTCTGACTTCCAACTTCCATAAACCCACTGTATGTCATATTTGACCACTTCCACAGTACTTGCCTTAATTTTTCACTACCTTTGTGTCTGTTCATCTATTTTACATCCTTCAATCACTATTCTGTTCTCAATCTCGAATTCACCTCACTTTGATGTTCCTCCTCCTCCTCCTCCTCCTCCTCCTCCTCTCTGCGAAGTCCGAGGTCAATCAAAGGACCAATGATACCTATCATAACGCCTGACATTTGAAATAGATAAATATTCTATTGCGGGGTATTGATATGTTGCCACATTCAATGCCGACTGATTTACGTGCTTTCCTATAGGCACTTTGCATGCACTAACGCTTATTTGCTTTCTCAAGCACATGTTTTACTTAAGAACTTTCCGCATCTCCCTTTGCGTGATTCAATTCCTTTCGTGGTCATCGTTTGAAAACATTTTGATGATAAATAGTGTTGAAATCGCATCAAGTCTTACTCAACTGGCACTCTGCATAGGCTGATTATTAAAGCAAACGAACTACAAGCTTTTATCAAATAACTGGGATGGATAACCAGTATATTTATGGTTTCAATATGTGAACTCACATTTATTATTTTTTGAACTAAACAGCACCCTACAAACCGTAATGTATTGTCACATAAGAAAGTTAAAGTGCTTCAACAGAATCCATATTACCTACCAGTGGTTATTGGCTATTGAATTGAGTTAATAATATTTCGTGTTGATATTTAAAACAGTATATTTTTTGCATTTCATCAATAGCAAAATAAATGTGCACCAAACTGCACTCATTCGTGTCTCATGGCGAACTGATACTGGCCTCGAGATGTGTTTCGGTAGTATCAGATGAGGATAATCGACAAATTGAACATATTTCAAATGACAAAAGCATATTCTCTTACAGTTGTCCCTATTGATATATGCTGTTCATAGAGTGAACTTAAAACTTCATCACTTAGAGGCCATCAGTTTTAAATTCGCATTCACTTGAAGGCCATGCTACTCTGTTTACTTCTCGAAAATTCTAATGTTCAAAATTGCCTTGTACATCATTTTCTCTCTCTAATTAGTATTGAAGAACTTTCTTGGCGAAACACCGATACCGATGACAATCCTATGACACATTGTCTTAAGTCAAATATTACAGGACTACAGGCAATTTTCAGATTTCCGTGTTGGAATTTTGCTGAAAGATTAAGAAGTAGAAATTTCTACCACCTTTGCTCCAAATCCATCCACCCAACTTCAAAAAATGTCCGATT